GAGTAAATACAAAGAAAACCAATTTTACTTGCATCATAGTAAAAACTGCCTTAAAACAAACACAAAAACAAATGATGCAACTAGCCAGGGGAAAAAAAAGCTGCATTGCCACATTATCTTCATAACAGCAACATTAAAACTGACGGTTAATTCCTCAACAGAAATCATGGAGCAAAGAAGTTAACAGACTTACATATTTAAAATTACTAAAGAAAATAGCTACCAACTTTGATTTCTATAAATACCAAAAACAAACAAAAAAACCTGTTGCTATCAAGTCGATTCTGACTCATAGTGACCCTATAGGACAGAGTAGAACTGTCCCGTAGGGTTTCCAAGGAGCACCTGGTGGATTTGAACTGCCGACCTGTTGGTTAGCAGCTGAACTTTAAACCACTACGCCAGGTGGTTTCCATTTCTACACTCAACAAAGGCGAAAGGTGAGAGCAAAATAGACATTTTCAGACACATAAAAACTAAGATAATTCATTGTACCAGTTTCACACTAAAGGAAATTCTAAAGGGAGTTTTTTCAGACAGAAGCACATGACCTCAGATGGAAACAAGAAAATTCAGGGAGGAATTAAGAGCAGTGAAAAGAGAAATATGTGAGTTTATGTAAATAAATATTGGCTATATAAGACAATAATAGTGTCTTTTAGAGTTTTAAATATATGTAGAATTAAAATGTAACACAAAGGAGAAAGGGAGGTATATAGAGTTAAACTATTCTAAGGCTCTAGCTTTATCTGGGACGTGTAAAAGCACTCATTTATATTAGACTTAAATAAGTTAAGGATGTACATTTTAATATCTAAAGATAACAACTAAAAGTATAATCAAAGAATATATAGCAAACAAGCTTAAGTGAGGAAAAGTGGAATAATATAAAATGCTTGGTTAATCCAATAAAAGGCAAAAAAGTAGAGCAAAACAATCATAGAAAACAAATAGCAAAATGGTAAATATAAACCAAACGTATCAATCATTACCTGAAGTGTAAATGGACTAAATAGTTAATAATTGTTACACTGGATTAAGAAACAAACAAGCAAACCAAAAACAACCACCCCACCATATTCTGTTTACAAGAGACATCTTAAATATTAGGGAATAGGAAGTTTAAAAGTAAAAGGATGGAAAAGAGATATAGAATGCAAACACTGCTCAATAGGAAAAAGATTTCAGCGGCAGAATTCTCGCCTCCCATGTGGGAGACCTGGGTTCAATTCCCAGCCAATGCACCTCAAGTGCAGGCATCACTCACCTGTCAATGAAGGCTAGGAAGAAAGGCCTGAGGATCTACTTCCAAAAATCAGCCAATGAAAACCCTATGGAGCACAGCAGTCCTATCTGCAACTGATCTTGGGGATGGCACAGGACCTGGCCGTGTTCAGTTCTGTTGTGCGTGGTGTCTCCATGAGTTCGAGGCCAACTCAATGACAACTAACAACAACATACATACCTATATATAAATGTATGTGTGTGTATGTATTATACTAATACTATGTATTATACTAATTATAGCTAACATTTGTATTGTATTTCTGCCATGTATTAGGACCCCTAGCATTGTCCCTATTTTTTCTTCCATGATCTTAATCTTTTTAGGTTTTATATTTAGGTCTCTGATCCATTTTGAGTTAGTTTTTACATATGGTGTGAGGTATGGGTTCTGTTTCATTTTTTTACAGATGGGCAACCAGTTTTGCCAATACCATTTGTTAGAAAGACTGTCTTTTCCACTTTGGTGTTTGTCAAAGATCAGCTGATCATAGGTGGATGGATTTGCATCTAGACTCTCGGTTCTGTTCCACTGATCTATATGTCTGTTGTTGTACCAGTACTAGGTGGTTTTGACTACTGTAGCTGTATAGTAGGTTCTGAGATCAGGTAGTGTGAGTCCTCCTACTTTGTTCTTTTTCTTCAATAATGCTTTGCTTATCAGGGGCCTCTTTCCTTTCCTCATAAAGTTGGTGGTTAGTTTTTCCATCTCATTAAATAATGCTGTTGGTATTTGTATCAGGATTGCATTATACCTGTAGATCACTTTGGGTGGAATTGCCATTTTTGCAATGTTGAGTCTTCCTATCCATGAGCATGGTATGTTTTTCCATTTATGCAAGTCTCTTTTCTTGCAGTAGTGTTTTGTAGTTTTCTTTGTATAGGTCTTTTATGACCCTGGTTTGATTTATTCCTAAGTATTTTATCTTTTTAGGGGTGATTATAAATGGTATTGTGTTCCTGATTTCTTTTTCAAAGTTCTCTTTGTTGGTGTATAGGAATCCAACTGATTTTTGTATGTTTATCTTGTATTCTGCTATTCTGCTGAATCTTTCTATTAGTTCTGGTAGTTCTCTTGTGGAATCTTCGGGGTTCTCTATGTATAGTATCATATCATCTGTGAATAGGGATAGTTTTACTTCTCCTTACTGATTGGGATGCTCTTTATTTCTTTTTCTTGCCATACTGCTCTAGCTAGGACTTCAAACACAATGTTAAATAGGAATGATGATAAAGGGCATCCTTGTCTTATTCCCATTGTCAGGGGGAATGCTTTCAGCCTCTCTCCATTGAGAATAATGTTGGCTGTTGGTTTTGCATAGATTTTCTTTATTATGTTGAGGAATTTCCCTTCTACTCCTATTTTATTGAGAGTTCTTATCAGGAGTGGATATTGGACTTTACTAAATGTCTTTTCTGTGTCGATTGAGATGATCTTGTGATTCTCTTATTTTGTTCTATCTATGTGGTAGATTACATTGATTGATTTTCTAATGTTGAACCATCCTTGCATCCCTGGGATGAATCTCACTTAGTCATAGTGTATTTTTTTTTTTATGATGCTGAATTTTATTGGCTAGAATTTTGTGGAGAGTTTTTGTATCTATATTCATGAGAGATATTGGTCTGTAATTTTCTTCGTTTGTGATGTCTTTGCCTGGCTTTGGTATTAGGGTTATGCTGGCTTCATAGAATGAACTCAGGAGAAATCTTTCCTTTTCTATGCTCTGAAATAGTTTGAGTAGTATTGGTGTAGGCTCTTCACTGAATGTTTGTAGAATTCTGTAGTGAAGCCATCCGGGCTAGGACTTTTTTTGTTGAGGTTTATTTATTTTTTTAACATTACCTCTTCAATATCTTCTGTTGTTAGGGTCTGTTCAGATTTTCCATCTGTTTGTGTTAGTTTAGGTAGGTAATGTGTTTCTAGAAACTTGCCCATTTCCTCTAGGTTCTCATATTTGTTGGAGTATAATTTTTCATAGTATTTGTTTATGATCCTTTTTATTTCAGTTGGGTCTGTTGTAATATCCCCCATCACACTTCTTATTTAGGTTATTTGCCTCCTCTCCTGTTTTTCTTTTGTCAGTTTAGCTAATGATTTGTTGATTTTTTTGATCCATTCAAAGAACCAGCTTTTGGTCTTGTTGATTCTTTCTATTGTTTTTCTGTTCTCTAATGGCAATGCAGTGTGAGCCAGCAGGAAGGGGGTGGAGGTATTGTACGGGGCTAGGTGGGAGGGAGAAAGAGAAAGAAGAAAAGTATGGCAGAAGGGGGTGGGATGGACCTGAGGAGGGAGGGATCCTATTGTGGACCCCAGCAGTGGGGACTGCCAGGATTGGGGGAGTGGTTCCTGCTTCTACTCACCAGAAGGGTGAGGGATGGGATAGTATGTTTCTCTGGTTACCGTGTGCTCTGTCTCCTGTTGCGAGCTCTGTGAAGTTGCCTTCCTGTACTCCCTGTCCAGAGTCATTGCTCGCTGCGTTTCAAAACGGTGACACTGTGCCATGTTAGTTGGCAGGGGGCCTCCACTCTATATCTCTCCTCATTCTCTGTTTTCTATCAGTTTCTTCCTTCATTTGGTGTTTGATCTAGTTCTTTACCCCTTCATTTGATGTTCAGGTTTCCAGGATTGATGAATGTATCTATTTTACTTAGTTTTTTGGGTCTTTGCTGCAGGGGGACGGCATGGTGTGGCTGTCTAGGGCACCATGTTGACTCTGCCTCTCTGCACATCAGAATCTTGAAGGAGCAGTTAAAGGTTTCCAATGCCAGACTGCATACTAGAGATTCTGGCAAAATTGATCTGGAACAAGGTCTGGGCACCCATATTGTTTAAAAGCTCCCCAGCTGAAGCTGTGTGGCCAGGTCTGAATCACTGGGCTAGAGCCATGAGTAACAGCATTTTAATTGACTTAACATGACATTTCGGTCACAGACATGGCATACCTCCACTGCCATATCAGGGTTATGATAATTCCCAGGCTCTAGGTGCAATGCCATCTATTTCTTCCCCACTGGAAAATGTGTATCTGTGCACAGGAGACTCAGAATGCTATTTGGAGAGTTAGCTAGTTTATCTATAATTAGTAACTACTCACTTGCAACACACCTCTTGCAAGTAATCTTTTAAGAACAACAGATCTAGGCAGCAAGAACATTTTGTTTTTCATTTTAATTCATTTCACTCATTGTACACTCCTAGTTATTTAGAGTACCTACCACGCCAAAAAGGGCTACCAAGAACTATCATATGGTGTCACTTTTAACTTGACAAGGAGCAGACACCAGGCTTCTTGGATTATCAGAATATTCTGGGCTGAGGTTTTCTGGCAATGTGTTTCTGAAATCAGAGCATTATTGTTGTTGGTGTTGGGTGCCGTCAAGTCAGTTCCGACACATAGCAACCCTGTGTACAACAGAATGAAACACTGCCTGGTCGTGTACCATCCTCACAATCTTTACAATGTTTGAGCCCATTGTTGTAACCACTGTGTCAATTCATTTCGTTGAGGGTATATTCAACAAAAAATAGATGGAGTCATCTTCCAGCCTTGCTCAAGGAGTGGCAGGCTGGCGCCAGCAGAGATGAGAACCACCTGACCTGTAACTACCACCAAAGCCTGGACAATGGCTCTGGCATCCCCCAGCCTCGCCCAGGCATGGCAGGACTGGGAGATTCCCACTGGGCCATACACAATAAGCACTGGGTAACTTACAAAGAAGGGAATCAGGCCAGCAGCCTTGTCTCTCTCCAAGGCCTCCTGTAGGGCAGAAGCCCGCATGGCGAACTTGTCGTCAGAAGGGATCGCTTTTAACTTCACTCCACCGATCAGTCCTGCTCTTTCCACTGAGGAGTGTGCCTAGAAAGATAGCAGCAGAGTTAGGTTTGTGTGGGTGGGCTCCCCTTCCTGTTTGCAGTCCTTAGATGCTCAAAACTCTTCAGGAATCTCCGCCGCAAACACCTGGCTCCTTCTCATAAAGCAATGGTGGCAGGACTGCTGATCTTTCCTTCCCCTCCCTACATCTTCAGGAAGATTCCTTAATTCCTGGAGTTGTTTCAGCTCATGTCAAACCTTGCTTTTAAGTTTAATGAATCAGACATTTGTAAGGGTAAGGGGCTGGGTTAATATTGGTGAGGTTTGTTTGAATTCATGAGCAAGTGGTGAGCCCTGGAAAGTGCAGCCTGGAGATGAAGTTAGAAAGCCTGGACTGATCCTGCCCTGCACCACTTTGTGGGGCTTCCTCTACTCAGCCTCTGGAGGCAGAGCCAGCTGGGCTTCTAAGCCACTGGCACCTTTGCTGACTCTCTGCTCCTGCCCTTTCCAGAGTGATCTTGGCAGCTTACTGGACTTCACTGAACCTCCATTCCTTCATGTGCAAAATGAGAAAAGAACCAACAGACACTTCAGAGGAGAGTTGTGAAAACGATAAGTAGTGAGGTGTCAGGCACACTGCCTGGAGTAAAGGCACTTAATGAGCCACTATTCTCACTCTCTTCATCTTTGGCTCCAAATCACCTAAGAAACTTAAGACAACTCCAGGAACCGGTTCTTTTCTGACCTTTGTACCTTTTCTTTAACTTCAGATGAGGAGTGAGGTGATCAGTTCAGAGATTCACAGTGACCAGCCGACCCTATGCTCCCTGGGATTAATGCTTGCCTGAAAATGAAGACTCAGTTTGGGATGAAGCAATCGTGGATGAGAAGTCTCAGGGGGAGTGGCTTAGCGGCAACAATGGGAGTTTCTAAAACCACTGGAATTTTAGATTGTCCAGAAGAGATGGATGGTTCTCTTCATGTACAACTGCCTCCTGTCCTAGATGCTTTTAGTGTCCTGCCCAGACCCTCCAGGCGTGGTTTGTGTACCCATTCCCCACCTACTAATGGCTCTCCCCTCCCCCTTCTGGAGAATTACTCTCTTGTTGACAAAGCCGCCTTGCCCCACCACTGCAAGGCTGACTAGCACTGACATACAAGAGGTGGGCTCTTTGTCTAAAGGGGGGTACAATTCACACTCCAGAGCGTCCCCCATGGGCCAGGCTAAGGCTAGAGTGTCCCAGAGACAAGGACCGATTTCCCACTAAGCAAGGTAAGCACGTACTCAAGGCATCCACAAGGCGGGGCATCAGTTGTTCACAGCAAAGACCCATAGATGCCAAGTGGACAGGACACGAGGAAAACCGAGCATCACAGTGGACGGGAATTGGTAGGGCTTTCGGTAGAAAACGTGGTATATGGTAACAATCTTAGTGCCCCTCATCCACTAAAGATTTTATAATCAGTTCATCTCATTCCGCTAAAATGGCATACGCCACTTTTGCGTTCCATCACTAATATTATAGTCATATTTAAAAAGAAGTTACATATATGTGTGTGTATATATATATATTTATGTATGTATATAACTCACATATCCCATTTGAATGTGTGAATAAGCAGAGGAGGGGGCACCACAGATTATCAGTGTTTAAAGCCCTCCCATGCCTTAATCTGGCCCTGCTCAGAGACAACACCTTTGCTGGGCTCCTTCCTTGTCTCTCCTGCTTCCCTAACTTCTACCAGGTTCCTCCAGTGAGCATCCCTCAATAAATGGTGAACACCTAAATCCTTGCTTCAGGCTCTACTTTTAGGAAACCTGACCTGCTCAAAATCAAATAGTGAATAGATCCCCGAAAGAGTGACTCCCTAGTTTGTTCCCCTCCCTGACAGCCATTCTCAACTGGGGTTCCACAGAGGAATTCAGCCCTCATGCATCCACTCTCTGAAATGAAGTCACGTAACTCCTGTGCATCTAGAATTGTGCTAGCTATGCACCCTCCTGTGGGGAACTAATGAAACTGTTACCAAAATGATTTTATGCATGGCTAAATTCTCTCACAGAACCCTGATTGGGGAAGACTACCCCCTCTTTCCCATAGCAACTTCTCTCAACATGTATTGATTGAGCGTCTATGTGCGCTTTTTTTTTTAAGCCACCTCATGTCCTTCTAAGAAACAAGGAAGATATAAATGAATAATTTTCTTCATGTGCAGCTAGCCCTCATATGTGGAATCAGAATACACAGGTGTGTAATCCTCTTAATTAAGCATCTAGAAATGGGTATTGTGTTTACTTCAGGCTAAATCTTTCTTAACCAGAGCAGAGTGTCGTGGTTTAAATGTTTGGCTTAAGAAAATTCGTCAAAGATAAATATGTGAGCAGAGCTAAACCAGCTATTCGTTGTGGAATTCAACTCTGTGAAGGTGGGGCAAGTCCAGCGTGTCACTAGGGGATGTGGGGGTGCAGATTACATCAGGTGACACTGTCAGAGGGGGTGACACTATAAAATTTTTGTGCAGTGTTTCAGCAGAAATTTATTATTTTTTATAAAAATATCCCTGTAGTTAGTTATAACAACAACAACAAAAATTTTTGTAAGCCCTGCTTACATGTATCAATATACCTAAAAGGCTAAAACTCTATGCTAATTTACTTTTTGAACCTTCTAATGAGCTCCAGTCAGAACTGTCATTATTACCCAATTACAATGATGCTTCGAATCATATGGTTTCATCTGCACGTGTTACAAGCATGCACTATTGTTTTCGTTGCTGCTCATGTTTTTATAGTGGCTGATTTTGTCAAACTTTCTGGTGTTTTAGCTACCATATTGTAGTAATTATCATGGGGGGGGTGACACCATGAGCTACTGCACTGGGTGACACAAACCCAAGTGACACCACTGGGCAAATGAATACATTTATTGTGCTCTTTCAATGATAGATTGTCTTATGGAATTATTCTCATACTGCTAAATCCTCTTTCCTCCTGTTCTCTCTCATCCAATTTTTCTCTTTTTTTATGGTTTGATCAATGGAATTATACTAAGTGCTCATATCTGCAGAATCTTTAAATCCTATAAATCTCCTTGTATCCTTTAAATTTTGTGTAGCCAGTAGCTGGACTGATCAGCAACACCAAGGGGTGGGTGCTTTTATGCCTGTTTGACAGTAAAGAAATGAAGGCTCAGAAATTTGTGTGATTTGCCTGAGACCTCAAAACTTACAATAGCAGACCTAGGATTTGAGCCCATGTCTTCAAGCCCTATGTCTAATTTTCCACAGTGCCCCTCTGAAGGCAAGCCAAATGATTACAGCATTAACTCAGTGCTGGGAGAAATGGTAACAGAGCTGGTCACCATGGTCTCTTCTTAGTGCATGAATTTTCTTTTCAACTTGACCTACTTCCCATTTGAGGATCCTTCTCTCTAGTACATGGCTCTATCTTAGTGGGCCTTCTTCCTGGGTTTGAAATGCTGCTCCATGGTTTTGTTTTGATTTGATTTGTTTTAAAACCAAACATTCCAGTCTGGAAGGCTTGGCCAGACTGCAGGCCAACACCCGTTCCCAATACACTCACCTGATCAGATGAGTAGGCCACCAGCTTTTCCATAATGGCGGCTTGGGTCAGCTCTGGGGATGCTGCCTGTAGATGTCGCATCACTTTGGTCCGAGCAGCCAGGAGGGCCACCAGGGTGGCTTCACTGGCACTTCCCTAAATCCAAGGGAAAGGTCCATGAGTTTGGAACACAGCAAGCGAATCAGTAAACTTTTGGAAGACATATTACTGTTTCCATATTTTTTTAAAAAAAAGATGAATCTGAAATTGCAAAGTTCATTCTTCTTCACACGGGAAAAAAACTGAACACCTGTGATTGCCATTTTAGCCCTTATCATTATTTTAACATTACTTTGTATATTTTATGCATCCATGATAGCTAACATTTCTGAGCACTCACTGTGTACCGGGTATTGTGAGATGAACTTTGCAGACATTTTCTCATGGAATTCACACACCCCGGTCTAGGAGGTACTATCCACCTCTCCATCAGAGGAGGAAGCTGGGGCCTGGGACACCAGTGTACAAGGCCAGCTCCATGTTCATAACTACTTGGGCAGAGTGGTTTATATTTGCTTATAAAATGGGGATGCATTTTCCTTGAGACTCAGAGTTTGCGTTGGAAGATTTCTCTCAAACACTGATGTCAACACATACTTTAACCAGTTAGAAAAATGGGTCAAAATTCACTCCTTTGAGACTGGGAATGGGCAAACAATAATATGGATTAAGCATGCAGAGAAATGACTAGAAAAGGATATCATGGTTGGTAAAGTAGAGAGTCAGTAAAAATGAGAGAAACCCTCCAGGAGATGGGCTGACATAATAGTCACAACAATGGACTCAAACAAATCAAAAATCTTGAAGATGGCACAGGACTGGGCAATATTTTGTTCTGTTACACGTAAGGTTGCCTTGAATTGGAGCTAACTTGAAGGCAACGAACAGCAATAATAACATATTATTCCATACAATTTGCAAAATAATCCTGTTTTTTTTTTCTTCGTCAAGTGAGAAAATGGATGCTCAGGAAGTTAAATAACTTGCCCCAAATCAACAGCTAACAAGTGGCATGTTTAGGATTGAACCCACATCTGTCCTGTCTATTGCAGCATGCACCTCACTGCATTTGTGAGCATTTCCCCCCTTCTCCCTGCTCAAGATCACCAAGTCTTTCTAAATCCTAGGAGAAACTCATCAATTGACCAAGCAGTAACATTGGAAAGGAACAGTAAAAGAAAGTAGATTTTTGTTGAACGTAATAGATTCATAAGATTTTAGAGCTTTCCAGAGAGATATACAATGAATATAATTAAATAGAAATGCTAAGCTCTCTTGTGAACATTCTCGTTCTCCCTTCATTGATCCCAATACCCCATTTTTATTTTATGATTTCACCGCTTTTATTTTTCCTTTTAACCTAACTCATATCTTTATGAGGCAGGGGGGAAATTTAAGATAAATAGATTTATTCATGTTTCCATAGCTCTAATGCACGAGCTCAAACATTCAGAGTCTCTTAGTTCGTCATCTAAAAGGAGCATTGCATTTCCTTCAGGCCATATTTTCATCGGCAATGATTTTAAACATGGCTTTAGACCAGGTTAAAGATAACTTGGCTGGCAGAGCTAAATCAGCCATCCCTCGGCAATACAAGCTCCCTGCAGGCAGGCACTGTATTTTACACTCTGTTACTCTTCTCAGGGGACTGCTTCCCTCCTGACCCCCAACACAGTTTGTTTTTTATGGGTTGATCTGTTGAAAATGTAACATGTGGAGCTTATTGAAAAGACACAGCTTCTGGTGATGGGGGTCACCCTGGTTCTCCTCACCCTTCACACTCACCACTTACAGTGATTGCAGCCTCTCCATCTGAATTAGTCTCTATTTAAAGCCTGGGAACTCATAGTCCTCCCCCACCCCCCACTCTGACCCATGTTCATTCTCTTCTGTGCCACATCCGAATGAAAGACTTTGAATCATCATGCCAATTAATTATGGCTTTTCCTGTCGACTCCGTCCGTGTTCTAAAAGAAAATTCTCCTCCTTCAGCAACAAGTGATTTTAAAGGAGAAAGTCTAAATGGCAGTGGAACATCCAGAACTCAGTAGCTCCAATGCAGCCTGTGTGTTTTGGCAGACTCCAGAGTGAAGTCAAATGGCTTTCTTTCCCCTTTGCTGGAAACAGATCTTTGCAGAGGGAAAGGGCGGGGGTGGGGTGGGGAACTATTCTGTGTGCTAAGAGAGCAGTAATGATACCTTTGCTTTATTGCAAGCAAACAAAGGTTGCCATGGTAAGCCCGGCTGGGGTGGGAGAGACAGAAGGAAATGCGGAGAGAACGGGATGCTGAGGCAGACGCGTCCTTTCATTTTTTGTTTTTTCAAGTGTCACTTCACGCGCTGTGAGAAGCGGCTTTTCTTCCACGAGAGCTTTCCAATTCACTTACGAAACAATTTTCACAGGCAACATTTGTCCAGCCTCACAGTGACACTTTGCCATTTGATGATCCTCTGCCCTGCGCCATCACTGCGCTGATGCCCCGGGCTGTAATTACAGCCTGGAAGGGATCGATAACTTGGGCTGGCTCAGCGTCCTCCCAGCTCAGGACCCGTGAGCTGGCACCAAACCCGGGTGCTGTTTGGGGCCTCACAAATTACAGTCAATCAGTCCTGTCAGCTGGGGACGGTGAGGTTTCCTGCCATAAAATCAGACATAATTGCCTGCTTTCGATCAGCAAAAATTGAGTGTCTTGGACCCAAAGGGGGATGTGTTGAAGCCTGGACTGAGAAATGCCAGGATTTTTCCTAACCAAATGCAAGGACTTCCATTGCCCCTTGGAAAATGGAATTGACTTTAAGGAAAAGGTAATTTAAAATTTTAACTCCTGGTAGCATGCACACCTCTGGACACTCTAATGCCAGCAAATGGTGACGGATGGGCTGGTGTAGCACTCATCAGTCCAGCTCTCCTTCCCTGCTAACTTGGCCTTTATTAGCTTGTGTCCTTGGGCAAGTTACATTACCTTTCTGAGCTTCAGTTTCCTCATCTATGAAAAAGATTATTGATAATGCAAGTGTCACAAATATTCTGAGGATCAAAAGTGATACCATAAAACATACAAAATAGGCTAAAACACAGCCTATAGTAGGTGTTCAATAAAAGGTATCTATTATTATAGTAGATACAACCTTAGATTGGGGGGTGTTGTTAAGATTCTTTGAGAAGTATCAAATTAGAGGAATCATTGGGGCTTCTGAAAAGGATTGAATGGGATATTGTTTTAGATGAAAGATCCAGTAACCCAGAAATACTTCTTATTTTTGTTTTATTTTTTTGGTAGAAGATGAATGGTGAATATGAACTCAACCAAGTGTCCTACCAGGAAGCTAATAATCTTCTTGGAAGATTATTGTCCTTTATCCTAAAGGATGTCCTCTGTAGTATTATTTATAAGAGTGACAAATTTGATACAACATAACATCTCACATACTATTTATATAAATTTTGATACATCATAGAAAGTCATGTAGTAATAATATTCTCAAAGAATATTTAAACAATAGGAAATGTTTACAATAAAATGGTGAATAAAAAAAATACAGAAAATCTGTATGGATTATCCCAATTTGTTTGCATATATATATTTTTTCACATGTATGTATTAAAAATAAAACTGGGAGGAAGTATACCCAAAAAATGTTCCTGTATTTTTCCATTATTTGCAATGAGCACCCAGTTTTCTAAGTATAAAGAAGACAATAATTATTTTAAGTGGAATAAAACAAAAAATCTGTTGCCACTGAGTCAATTCCGACTCATAGTGATCCTACAGGATAGAGTAGAACTGCCCCATAGGGTTTCCAAGGGGCAGCTGGTGGATTCGAACCGCTGTCCTTTTGGCTAGCAGCTGAGCTCTTAACCACTCCGCACCAAGGCTCCTTTAAATAGAATAGCAGAACTAAAACTGACATTGAAGGAGCTAAATTGGTAATGTGGAAAATTGAAACAGTGATGTATAGAAAAGCATGAGAAACTCCCCCAGAATGTAGGGAGAAAATGACTTTAAAAAGAAAAGAAAATAACAAAAGAAAAGAAGTAGCCAACTTGTGGAAAATTCAATGCCTAAAAAACAGAATAGAAGCAAACTACAAACAGCAATTAAGATATAATAGAAGAAAAATTTCCCAAGGTAAAGAAAGATCAGAGTCTTGGATGAATTGTTGTTTGGTGCCGTCGAGTCAGTTCTGACTCATAGCGACCCTGTAGGGTTTACCAAATAGTAGGGTTGAAAGTGAATGGGACATATGAAAAAAGTAGATCTTGGTAAAATACATAGAAGTATAAAAAAAAAGTAAGTCCTCCACAAGTGCCCATGTCTGTTGTGAAGTGTTAGCTCACCTTCACTTCAGAATTGAATCAAATAGAATTCAAAACAAAATTTCCCTCCTCACAGCACTGTGCTCCTTTCCTCCCCTACTGTTGCTGTTTGCTCTCTCTGGCAACCGTCAGGCTTTGCTGTTCATCAGAGAAAAATGCAACAGCGTCCTTTGGAGAATGAAGGACTGCTGTAGTAATGATTTGGAAAGTCTGCCCGACATTCACCGAAATAAAATGTGGCTGAATGGGCATTGATTGGGGGGCTGGATGTAGTAGCCTCACTCTCCAAGGCCTTGAAGGGCACATGTGAGGCTGAATCTTTGTGGTATTTGCCGAGGGGACTTGACCAGGATGCATAAACCCTGAGCAATAGGAAAGCTGCCCTGAAAAACTATAAGCTACACACGTGTTTTGCATTTACTAACAAGTCCTTGCTGTTGCCATGTTCAAGTCCAGTTCATAGCATCAGACTGAAGCTTTGCTTACAACAGAGCTAAAGTTTAATTTTCAGCAACTCCCAACTTGGAATCACTTATGTATGATGGGCAGTGAGATGACCCAGGGGTGAGCTGACAGAGGGAATTGTCTGAGCCTGGCCACGTTGACCTGTCGGTCACAGTGAAGTCACCATCAGTCATAGCATATACGATCTATTTATCAAAATGTAGCCCAGGACTTCAGCATCAGAATGACTTGAGGTGCATGTCTGAATGCAGATTCCTGGGCCCATCCATTGACTGTCAATCTCTAGTGGTAGAGTCTAGAAATCTACATGGTAAAAGAGTTCCTTCAGTGAAAAGAATAACTGCCCCCCTCTAAGACGTCTGTGCCCTGATTCCTGAGACACGTGCATATTTACCTTACATGGAAAAAGGTACTTTGAGAGTGATTAAGTTAAGAATCTTGAGATGGGAGATTATTCTGGATTATTTGGATGAGCCACATCTCATCATATGGATCTTTAAAAGTGGAAAACAGATCCGAGCTATGGCCAGAGGAAGATGTGCATATTCATTTCCTAGGGCGACCATAACAAAGTATCACAAATTGAGAGGCTTAGAATAGGAATTTATTGTCTCACACTTCTGGAGGCTAGAAGTCCAAAATCAAGGTGTTGGCAGGGCGTGCTGTCTCTGAAGGCTAGGGGAAGTTCTTTCCTTGCCTCTTCCTAGCTTTTGGTGGTTCCTGGAAATCCATGGAATTCCTTGGCTTGTAGATGTATCACTCCAATCTCTGCTTCTGTCTTCACATGGCCATCTTCCCTTTGTGTCTCTCTGTGTCTCTTCTCTTTTTATAAGGACACCAGTAATACTTTAGGGGTCACCCTAGTTCAGCATGACCTCCTGCTAACTTAACTCATTACAACAGCAATGACCCTATCTCTAAACAAGTTCGCATTCACATTCAGGTCCCTGGAGATTAGAACATTAATATATCTTTTTGGTGAGACACAACCCATCACAATATGACTATGGAAGAAAGGTCAGAGAGATGTAACATTGTTGACTCTGAAGATGGAGGAAGGGGCCACGAGCCAAGGAATGCAGGCAGCCTCTAGAAGCTGAAAAAGGCAGGGAAACAAATTCTCCCTGAGAGCCTCCAGAAAGGAATGTAGCCTGCCAACATCAGTGACACCTGTGTTAGACTTCTGACCAACAGGACTGTAAGATAATAAATGCGTGTTGTTTTAAGCCACTAAAATTTGTTACAGCAGTGGAAATGTGTTACAGTGGCAATAGAACATTAATACCTGGGATTTTAAAAACCATGGTCTGGTTTAAAAGTCCCAGGACTGGAAACTGGAAGACTTGCTTTCTAGTTTAGCTCGGACATGCCAGCAACGTGATCTTATAAAAAGGCATTTTCCAACGAAACCCTATGTTCTCATCAGTTGAATCGGCAGAATAATAGTTGCCTTCACTAATTCTCAGAGCCTTTGAGAAAGACAATATCTGGAAAAGGAAATTCTTTTTTTTTTTTTTCCCCAAAGTAAATAATGCTTTCCCAATGTTATGAGCATATACTTCACACAAGAAAACTGATGTAAGGGAGGATAGTGGTTTCAAGACAGTCCATGATAAGATACTAAAAATACACGAAGTCCATGTCACCCTAGTGACATGTGTCCTGTAGATCTTGGTGGAATAGAAGTGCCCCCAGGCGTATTCCCTTGTTCCCTGACACATAGTTGTTCTTAATAGGCACATGTTAAATGAAGAGAATAAATTACATCAGTGCACAGAAAAAGCAGCATATTTAGGTTAAGTGTTGGTCCACATATAAGTAGCACCTTGTAGCTTTTGAAACACAGTCGCCGCTGCCATTTATGGTTCTGAGAGTAGCACCATGTGGTGGGGAAGACCGTAGGCTGTGGAGCCAGGCAGATATGGGCCCAATGCCTCAAACCAATGGAAACCAATGGGCAAGTTACTTAACTGTTCTGTGCTTCAGTTTCCTCAGCTGTAAAATATTATAATGGCTCCTCATTCATTGTGTTGTTGTGCAAATTAAATGAGTCAATGCCTGGAAAGTGATTAGGCACAATAGCCTTGAGGAAGACAACAAAAGTTAGGTGCTGCTGTTGTTATTTTTATTACTACACACCTGCTGTGTGATGTGTGATAGCCACTATGTCATCTATGATAAATAGGGGCAAGGGAAGTGAGTGACCTGCCCATAGCTAGTGAGAGGCAGCCCTGGGACTCAAATCCAGATCCCACTGACTCCAAGACCACCGTTTTCCCAATAGCTTGGCTTTACCTATCTCAAAATTCTTGCTCACTTTGCAGAAGAAATGGGAGCAAGAACCGAGGGGCCTCTTTTTCCCATCTGCAGCAGTGGTCCCTTTCTGGAGCTCCCAGAATGCGACCGGCTCCAGCCCCCACCCCACACCTTACACCCCACACCCCTTACCTGGATCACGCCACCCCCTTCCCCGTTGCTGCCAGCTAAGAAAGTCTCTGGCAGCTCCAGCATCTTTCCAAGCCAGTCCATCATCACGGTCTCCAGCTCTGTGCATGCTGGGCTTGCAGCCTGTCATGGGAGGGAGCAAAGGAGTGAACCCCGGGGGCAGCTGCCCTGATCGGCCTGCCAGCTGGCGATAACAGCACCACACAGGTTGGAATGGGGCTGGGGCTGTACACACAGGTTATGCCTTTCCTTTCCTCACTTGGAGAACAGAGGGAACAACCTTCCCAGACCCCAGACAGATCTCAAGGAAGTGAGGCGTTAGGCTGTGCCAGGTTTTGCACAATTGTGCCAGCCCTTCCTTGCCATGGTGCTCCCTTGTTCTCACCATCTCCTCACTGCAGACTTGGGTCACATGAAGTGAGAGGTGCATGCCCCTGAAGACACTGTCCTCTTCCCCCCACTGTTTTCCACCATGGATTTAATCTTCCACTGAACCCCAGATTAAAATCACCAATCTCAGATGCCACCCAAATGTCTGAAATAAGATTCAAAGATGTGCTCCTTGACTAAGACTCATGTCAGGAGAACGGTTTGGAAGGAAGATGGAAACCACCCTAATAAAGCCTCACTCGTCTGCGCCTCATTACTTGAATACTGTTTGTTTGTGTATGTATTTATTTGTTTATTTATAGAAGGATCTAGAAAGGCTCACTGGTGGACACTTCCAATGGTCACATGAATGGAAGAAGCACTAAACTGAGAGCTGAGGAAACTGGGTTCTGGGAGTCCCCGGGCAAGCCATGAACGGCTGGTCCCACCCAGGGACCTAAGTGCTTCTAAAAACCACTGCTGTCTAATGTAACCTATGGGCTGTAGTTAAGATAGTGTATCAACACTGCTTCATCGACTGTAACAAATGCATCACAGAAATGCCAGAGGTTAGTAATAGGAGAATTAGCATGTGAGGGGGAAAGGAGTTATCTGGGAACTCTGCACAAATTTCCCGTAAATCTAAAATTGCTCCTAAAAGTAGTTTACCAAAGAAAACAAAAACTGTGCAGAATTGCCTTTTGGTTGCTGAGATGAGACCTTTTCAGAAAGAACTCTCTTCTCTCTGCTATTTCCCTTCATTCCAAATTTCTGTCCTTTTGTAAGGCACTTTCCTCCCGGGGCTGAAGCCTCCTTTCCTCCTGCAACATTGGTCCTCCTGCCCACAGGGGACGCTGCCAGTTGCTCATGGCCTGTGAGCAGCGGGAGGCAGCAGGTGCCGTGTTCCCTTGACAGCCCCACCCCGCCCCGCCCCACTGCCGGCTCCCAACGCCCCTACCCCCCGGATCTCCCCAGAGCTCACCCAGGAAAAGCCGATGCAGCCGATGGCCCCGCACAGCATGTCCGCGAGCATGGCCGGGTACGAGCTGGCCGTGGGGAAGTAGGCGAAGAAATGAGGGCTGTGCCAGTGGGTCACCTGCCGGGGAGATGGGACGATTACTTAGCCCTACCGGGAACAGGACCCCGCTACCGTCGTGCCCCTGCTGCCTGGTTTGATTACTACATTTCCTACATTTCATTCATTCCAGTACCTTCAGTCCTAATAGCACCTGTTCAGTCACTCCTTTAAACCGACTCCCTTTTTTGCTTATTTTAACATATTTGTTGGCTAAGAAGGAAAACTTGTATCTCCCAAATAAAGTGGAAGATCATTATTGTTTGCTCTAAATAGAAAAAAAAAAAAAAAAAACACGTTGCCGTCAAGTCGATTCCCACCCGCAGTGACCCTATAGGACAGAGTAGAACTGCCCCACAGGGTTTCCAAGGAACTGCTGGTGGATTCGAACTGTCGACCTTTTGGTTAGCAGCCAAGCTCTTAACTCCTCCTCCTCCAGGGCTTCTTAAGTACAAAGTAGCCATAAAAATTGAAGTCTCTAAAACAACAGTGAGTTTTAAATTCTTGCTGGGTGCCTTTGTCAGGGAAAGTTCCATCCTGGAGGCCCCCATCTCTTTGGCCTGGTTTTTGAGGTCTCTTCAGCCAGGTTCCAAACTCACAGGCTGGTCTTCTCCCCACTTCCTTACTAAGCACACCTCAGTACCATGCCTGGCATCTTCCACCTCTTCTATCTCTTCAGGCTTCTGTTCCCCCTTGTCCCTTCTGCCCTTCTGCCCCCACCACTTCCCGTTCTCCAGCCCAGGTCAGCAGACTGTAGTGAACACCTAGACTGTGCTAAGCCGGGGTTAGGCACTGAGGATAGCTGAATACAGTCTGACCTGGTCCCTGCCCCCAAGGAGCTCCAGGTGAACCAGGGAGGGGACCCACGGTGTTAGAGCACTGTGAAGTCTGTACATCCGAGCACATAGGGTGCCGGGAGCCAGGGGGGCTGCACCAGGGTGAGTCAGGAGGAGCTGAGGGGTGGGTACAGGGGTGCATGGGTGCAGGAAGAGCAGGGAGCACATCTGTGCAGGGAATGGGAGTGTGGGAAGACCTAGGAGTGGTACCCAGGGGTCAGCCGGAAGCATCTCAGCGTTTGGGAGATCGGGGAGGAGAGGGAATGGAGGTATGTAACCCATTTTTGCTTCTATACTTTGTTCTTGCCATTTATGTGCCTGTCATGTGAGAAGAGAATAAAGCCCTAAAACCCTCATCACCATCCCACTGCAGACTCCATCTGGGGTTTGTGACCGCTTAGTGGAGTCCAAGAGACATTTCCCGGTCCTTCTCTTCTCTTTCCACCATTTCCATCCAGTGCACATAGACTTCAGGGGCCTTAGCAGTCACCTGGACTGCAGGTCCGGCAGCTACTCAGTTTGTCTGAGTCACCTTAGGTGACTGACGACAGCTCGGGGCTCCAGGTAACTCTTAAGTAAATGCATGATGGAATCTAGGATTTCTTCCAGCTCTAATGTTCACCATGCCTATCTCAGAATCCCTAGTGGCCATGGATTTGTTCTACCAACATTAGTCATATTCACACAGTCTGGGGCAGATCCAATCATTTCTTTTTCTGATAACACCCATTTTTTTTTGTTTTAATTTTTTTTTATTGTACTTTAGATGAAGGTTTACAGAGCAGTAGTTTCTCATTAAACAGTTAGTACACATATTGTTTTATGACATTGGTTAACAACCCCACACATGTCAACACTCTCCCTTCTTGACACTGGATTCCCTATTACCAGCTTTCCTGTCCCCTCTTGCCTTCTAGTCCTTGTCCCTGGGCTGTTGTGCCACATTAGTCTCGTTTTGTTTCATGGGGCTGTCTAATCCCTGGCTGAAAGGTGAACCTCGGGAGTGACTTCATTACTGAGCAAAAAGGGTGTCTGGGGACCATACTTTTGGGGTTTCCCAGTCTCTGTCAGGCCAGTAAGTCTGGTCTTTTTTTGTGAGTTAGAATTTTGTTCTACATTTTCTCCAGCTCTGTCCGGGACCCTCTGTTGTGATCCCTGTCAGAGCACTCAGTGGTGGTAGCCAGGCACCATCTAGCTGTACTGGACTCAATCTGGTGGAGGCCACGGTAGTTGTGGTCCATTAGTCCTTTGGACTAATGTTTCCCTTTTATCTTGTTTTCTTCATTCTTCCTTGCTCCTGAAGGGGTGAGACCAGTGGAGTATCTTAGATGGCTGCTCACAGGGTTTTAAGACCCCAGACACTACTCACCAAGGTAGAATTTAGAACATTATCTATATAAACTATGTTATGCCAATTGCCCTAGATGTTCCCTAAGACCATAGTCCCCACAGGCCTCCGCCCAGCAGTTAGGTCCCTCAGGGAGTTTGGATGTGTCTACGGAGCTTCCATAACTTTGCCTTTTACTAGTTGTGCTGGCTTCCCCAGTATTGTGTACTATCTTACCCTTCACCAAAATTACCACTTATCTATTGTCTATTTAGTATTCCCCCAAACCCATCCCTGGTAACTATCAAAGATTGTTTCTTTTTGCATGGTATGTCATTGTGCTTTTAATTTGCATTTCTCTAATGGCTAGTGATTGTGAATATTTCCTCATGTGTCTGTTGGCCGCTTGAATGTCTTCTTTGGTGAAATGTCTGTTCGTTTCCTTTGCCCACTTTTTAATTGGATTATTTGTCTTTTTGTTGTAGAGATGCTGGATTTTCTTGTAGATTTTAGAGATTAGACCTTTGTCTGACTTGTAATTTCCAAAAAATTTTTTTCCCAGTCTCTAGGTTCTCTTTTTACTCTTTTGGTGAAGTCTTTTGATGAGCATAAGTGTTTAATTTTTAGAAGATCCCAGTTATCTAGTGTCTTAATCATCTAGTACTGCTATAACAGAAATACCACAAGTGGATGGTTTTAACGAAGAGAAGTTTATATCCTCACAGTCAAAGTAGGCTAAAAGTCCAACTTCAGGGCATCAGCTCCAGGGGAAGGCTTTTTCTCTCTGTCGGCCTTCTCTTCAGTGTTCCCCCAGACTAGGAGCTTCTCTGCGCAGGGGCGCTGGTCCAAAGGACATGCTCTGCTCCCAGCACTGCTTTCTTGATGGTATGAGGTCCCCCATTCTCTGCTTGCTTCCCTTTCCTTTTATCTCTTACAAGAGATAAAAGGTGGTGCAGGCCACACCGCAGGGAAACTCCCTTTACATTGGATCAGGGATGTGACCTGAGTAAGGGTGGTGTTACAATTCCACTCTAATCCTCTTTAACATAAAATTACAATCACAAGATGGAGGACAACCACACAATTCTGGGAATCATGGCCTAGCCAAATTGTTCTAACATTTTTTGGGGGACATAATTCAAACCATGACATCTAGCTTATCTTGTGGAGTTTGTGTGTTGTTGGTTATGGTTTGTATCCTGTTAATGCCATGTATTAGGGCCTCTAGTGTTGATTCTATTTTTTCTTCTATGAACTTTATAGTTTTAGGCTTTATATTTAGGTCTTTGATCCATTTTGAATTAGTTTTTGTGTATCGTGTGAGGTATGGGTCCTGTTTCATTTTT